ACTACTACTACTACTACTACTACTACTACTACTACTACTACTACTACGATACGAGATCTACAGCCAGAACACCCAGGACAATGAAGGGGATGGTCATGTTCGCTATAAGTCACTTGTGATGTTGCTCGATGTTACGTTCCTTTAACAAGCAGGCTCTTTGTGAACAACAACCGGTTGACCACCGCACCTTTTCCGGATGCAACGACGCCGTGTTTCCCGACCGGGGCGACCGGACGTCGAGAACGCCCGACCGGAAGACCAGTCGATCCAGTCTGTGGAAGTCCCAAAGACGATACAGTGGATTGAGAGTAGATGGATGGCGCAAGTTACCCCAAGTTTGGTGGTTGTCTGTGGATCCCCATCTGTTGGATAGACATCTTGGGGTGCCAGTGCCATCGGACCTCAGAAACCACGATATTTGGCATCACCAAACCCTATGGATTCACTGCCACCGACCTGGTTCGGTACGACTGGACCCGACTGGCTGGCGTGTATACATAAATCGTCTCCCTGCTCAGCTTCTCAGGTTCGGTCTGTGGATCCATAGGGAAAGAAAAGGACATGTCTTTTTCGGGTCCAGTCAATCCGACGTCTGGGATGCATGGGATATAGGTCTAAACGCCAAATCAGGGATTACCTTCTTGACCGGGGAACCGCGGCTACAAAGAATCAAAGGGTTTCGATGATTTGTGTCACACGACTTGTCAATGCAGGTTGGTAGGTAAACCGTAAACAACCCCAAACACTTCATGCGACTAGAATATAGCTGGATCTTCATGTGCGGCACAATGCTTTTTGCCGGAGGCATTTTTCAGTTAAAAGAAGCCGTAAACAAAGACCATTGCCATTTTCAGGGCTTGCAACACATACGCTCAAAATCCGACGGCGAAAGATGCTGGGAAAGGACGCCGTTCCGGTGTTGGTTTCTGCCGATGTCCCGCATGATGGTCACAACAAAAAGACACATTGGTTTTTTTTGAAAAGACGCCATTACGGCATGTTTTCTTTATGGCTCGTGTCAAACATTTCACCACGGCCCAAAAAACAAACTCTAAAGGCGTTCCAGATTGGGAACTCTTACATGACTGGCACCCATATGTCACTGGAGACTTGCTTTCAGCCATCATTGAGGTGGTCAAGGAACGTTCAAGGATACATGGTGTTCATTGAGTATCAAAGCCATCAAGTTCCTGAAAACACCTCAATGATGGCTGAAAGCCTCCAATCGACAGCACCGTTCGGTGACGTCCCTCCGTCCCTCGGTCAGCGAGTCCCATCGTTTTCGCCAGCGAGTCGATCACAAGGGATCCACCAAAAGGGGTGGAAAGGTGTTCCAGCGCGAAGTTGCAGAATGGCAGGTGCATGAGAAGATTGGTAGGGAAATCGCAGGCATACATGCTATATATATAATATATATATATTACATAGTTTATTAGAACTTGAGCGACCTCTATTTTGGACCACCAACTAACCACACAAAAGCATAATCTTTACCGATCAAAACAGGGATCATGTCTGGGTATACCTACAATATCCTATATACTGGTGTTTTTGATGTCTAGACTCTAGACGTCAAGACCATTTACAAAGTCTACCCAGCTCGAACATCTATTTCGTTTCGTGCCTCGTCATGCGTGTTCTTCGTTCCTGCCGCGCCCTGCGGCCCTGCCGTCCACCGCACAGAACATCCTCAACCCCACCAGCTGCGCGTACGCTCCAGTGTCTGTACTCCGTGAACCGCTGCGGAGACCCATCTCTCGAAGAGTCTCAAGAGCCTGGAGACCCTCCGTCGGGTGCCACGAATTGATCTGCGAGCGGCCGCAGTTGGGGTGACCCTAGCCAACCCCAATGCATGCAAGCAGTCAGTGCATGGAAAATAAGAGTGTCTTCGTGGAAGACGAAGGGCGGAGCTCAGTTGAGCAGTCACTGAAAAAGAATCGTCCTGGGGTTCTTGGTCCTTCGATTCAGTATGACATGTTTCTTCACCATGGGAAACGAACTGCCTTTGTTCTTTTGCTCAAAGAAGATGTCTCCAGCACACCCAACGCAACAAACACGGAACTTGTGTTTGATGCCCGCGCAACAGCCACAAGAATCCAGGACACTTGAACAGGAAAAGACCTCGTCAGGGATGTCTATAACCCTCCCGAACCTGTTTGGATCGGGCCATGTGGCTGAGCCATGTGGGTGTGTGGCTCAAATAGGAAGACCTCCCAGGCATTCCGGCCCCCTGGAAAAGGACAAAATAGACCAAAACCCAACGGGTTGGGGATCTCCATATGACCAATAATTCCATGTGTCAGTCAAGGATTTCCGGTTCAAAACAACCTCCTACAACAACGCGGTAAAAAATGAACAACGCGGTGGTTGATGACGGATCAACTTTTCCTTCGCCCCTCCGCTATCTGCAAAAAGAGGATCCAGATGACTTGGCCTCATGGCCACATCTTCTGGCCTGGCCCGGAGATGAAGACTGACGCCTGGGATCTGACGCGTCGGACCCTCCGTATTGGTGCCCTTGGTAAAATGGGTACTTACATGGTACCAGGGGCCAGGGGCCCCTCAAAACCATGAAAAAACACAGGTTTTCAGATACAAAAACCAGGTTTTTTGCTGGAGAAAACCAGGTTTTTTGATGGTTTGTGGGGCCCCTGGTACAAACTGTGTTGACTACATAAGACCAGAGAGCCGCGAACCGATGGACCTTGTACTGACCGTCCGATGTAGAGGATGCTGTAGAGGATGCCTCTACCTCTTTTGACCCAAGCGGGCTCCTGGCCTACCTTCTGAGAAGGTCGTTGGTAGGTGGGTCCAACTATACCCGGTTCCGGTCCAAACGGTCTGTTGGGTCGCGGGACTCGCGGAGCGACCTGTGCGACGGGACCTCGATGTACCGAGCACACCGGAGGGGAGTACCGATCCGTGAAGCGATTAGTACAGATGACTCCATGGCATGATCCCACAAATGTTCTCAAGAGCCTCATGGATGTTCCGCATTTCACGATGCCGATCTGCGGTAGATCTTGCAACTTGGCAACATGAAAACGCCCGCTTTTTTTTTGCAGCAGGATGCCCGCCCGTCTGTTTCGCAAACATCTTGCATAGTTGGAAGATCTAACGCTATGACCATCTTTTCTAGTTCAGTACTTTGCCTCTTCAGTTGCTGATGATCAAGAAGGAGGAGCTCCTTCTCATGCTGATCTCAGGCGACTCTCATCTGAGGAGACAACAAACGAGAGCGGCAACCACGTTATAAGAGTTGATTCTCCTATTGGAATGACTCCCTTCGTAAACAAAATGTGATTTGGGCATTCCAAACATAAGGCCCAGTGCCAGTAGCAAGCACTCTAAAGCTCATGTTTCCTTGCTGCTTACTTACCAAAATTATTGTTGACTGGCCTGGGAAGCAATGAAATCATGAGACACCACGGTCACCACCGGAGATCGACGACTTGAGAGTTTCTCTCAACGACCCGGCCGTTCCGCTCCAACGACCCTCGCTCACGGCCTTCATCCCATGTGGCAGCACCGGTGGCTGCGAGAGGCGCCTGGACAGGTTCGAAGGAAGGCATCCGTCGGACCCGTGTGGTCAATCGGAACAAGGAAGACATGGTCTTGAGATGTCGATCGAGTCTTGAAATGTCGACATGGTCGAGACATCAACGACATGTACATTGTTTCTGAGAAAGATGCCTCAAACATAGACATTGAAATTGGTCTGTTCGTGAAATCGATGTTGTGCTTAAAAGCGAAAGAAAGGGTGGAAGCTGCGAGCGACTGCAGGCGACGCGAAAAAAACAAAAAAACATCTTCCCAGTGAGGTAAGCGTTTGTTTCATGAACTGCTTGGAGGCGATGAAACCGAATGACACCTTGCAGACCTTGCGGTCCAAGAAGCTGGAACAAAGAGCTGAAACTCTTCCCCAGTCCGCAGGTTAGAGGATCTACCCAGTTCGGGAAAATATAAGAATATATGAACCTAGAACCCAATTGACCTCTGTTTTGATAGGAAAAGACCATGTTTTGGCTCCAAAACAGTGGTCAATCAGGTTCTAGGACAAAAATATACATATTCTCTATCGCAATGGTGGCAACCGAAGTCCACAAAGCGTCCAAGCAACAAAGAAAAAGCGCACCAAAAGAAAGCTCTTTATGGCTGCGAGTGTCGAGGTCGTAACACGTGCGGATCAAGGGCCCTTCGGACAAAGATGCGACGGCAGTCGCACATGGGAAAACGAACACCTCATGACAGGTGTACATCAAATGCATTCGCATGTTGACACAGGCCAAAAAGTTTATTTTCATGGCCTTCGAAAAACATTCAAAAGTTGGGCCTCTCTCATGACCGATTCAGGTCACTACGAAAAT